CCCCAAAACCCCAAAACCCCAAAACCCCAAAACCCCGAGATATTAATTTATTATTGAACTCTATTATTCCATCTTCTTTAAAATCTTGTCTAATTTTGATTCAATAGATTTGATTGAGTTTTCCATATTATCAATCTTAGAATTCATCCTAGCTTTTGATTCTTCATCTTCTTCCTTTGCAGAAATTATTGGTTCTAATTTTTTTGATATTTCTAATGTTCTAACGCACATTGTCCTTTCAAGATCGTTTATTCTATTTATTATAGGAATGAGTTCTTCATTATTTCCAGGCCTAACAGTTTTGTCAAAAGCTGGGAGCCACTTATTATCTTTTCTGGCTAAGCAGTTATTGACATAAATATCAACTGGGTCTTTGATTTCATTTTTATCCAATAGTTTAATATACCCCATATAATACATGTAGTCCCAAACGTTGTGGGTGAACTTGCAGTGAGCCTCGAAATTTAGGATTTGGTGAGATGGCTTATCACAAATAAAGCATCTAGACTTCTTTGCTAACTCAATTGCATCTCTCTTTGCTCTGCCTTCTGAAAATTTGTCAATAATAATAGCTCCGAAAATACTAATGAGCACAACAAGAAAGATTATGTGGAAGATGAAATCATATATCAATCTGCCAATTCTTATGTTAAATTTCTTTGTATCATCATCAATCTCCATAAAGACTGGGGATCTATCATTATCGGAAAGAAAGGCTCCCACTCCGTCCTTGTACCAAGAGTCGAAGACAACAGCTAAAGATGTCATGAACGGTATATTTGTGTCAGTGGTCAGCTCATTAAAGTCTTCGTTATAGAAAATATACCCGAATACTGAAAACCAGAAGAGAATGGTCATACAATAAGTGAAGATTGCGAATATCTTATACCAAGAGATTCTGATGTCACTAATAACTTGTAGAATCCAGGGCGTGAATATCAGAGGATACAGCAACAGAAGTCAGATAATTTCGAAATTAGCGAAGCTCCAGATTGAAATGACCAGACATATAAGGATACACCAAAAATTTCTATTAGTTTGATAGAGAGATTCTCTGTAAAATATTTGACCAAAACTCTTTAGCATCGAACCTAGCATTTTTCAAAGCTTAGCCACTCCAAGATCTACAAGAGCATCAACATCTCTTGCCTCAATAGCATCTCTTTGTTGTCTAGTAAGGTCAGGCTTTAATGAAGTGATAAAACTCTGGATGCTCAGAAAGTAAAGAAATAGCACTGTAAACCATATACTAAATAAAATGTGTATAGCTTTTGTCAACTTTTGGTGCATTCCAAAAAGCTCTGGATCTCTGTTAATTTCTCCATCTTTCACCTCAAGAGTGAATAGTAATGAAATGTTTGCAAGAACGATGGTAAACTTCGTCAATCCAGTAAGCCAGTTGTACTTCTTAGCCACATCTCTTGGGCAGAGAAGAGCAGACTGAACTGTTTGTTGAGCGAAAAGCTCATGAATCTTGCTATTCGCAAATTTCATAAAAGAAGGAATGAACGTTTCAAAGATTTCCAAATTTGCGTGATCCCATAAACGATTTTTCTCACTTTGCATCAATACTAAGAATGGAGGAGTTATGATAAAATACTTAGTCACTAGCTTATCACGAGGCATGAGCACTTGAATCTTAGAACTATGGCTATCGAAGAACTTAGTGGCTCAGCTTTGAAGACTTTCATTATTCTCAAAGGACTTATATTTCTTCTCAGTAATAATGTCATATCTATAGCGACATTTCAAGCTACATTTAGATTTACGTTTGCAATGGGACCATTTGAACTTTAATCCCAATAATAATCTCAAGTATGTTTTCAACCAGGCTTCGTTATCACGCTCTTGTACTATGTTTGAATTCTCTTCACCATTGTTTTCCCAGAGCTTACATACTAAATAATAGCATTGAAACCCAATGTTGATGTTGTAAATTTCAGAGATCGTAGAATTCCTATCCAGAACTTCAGGGACGAAATGATCATATCTAAGAATTCTGAACTGCACATAATTCAATGTCATCAAGCTGATTATGGTTTGTCTGAAAGCACCCTTATTCATGACTTTCTCTTTATTGCTTCTTCCTGCAGAGACGAGATAGTTTATCATAATCAGCACTTTTTCCTTCAAAAAGTTTAATCTTTTAAGTAATTTAGCCTCAGACTCTCTGAGATCAGCTTCATTTGTAAATGGTAGCAGAAAATAAGCTGAAGAGAGGTCTCCTTTTATTAAAAACGCTTGGTCTTCTTTTGAAAACCCGCTCCTTAAAATTGTAAAGCAATCATCATACACAGAGATATGAATATCTCTAATAGATTGACCACTCTGGTCTTTATACATCACCTCGAGCAATAAGTCAAATAAATCAGTTAAAACATCAATCATGCACTTAATACCGAGCAAGATGACACCAGCTTTGAGCATTCCTGCCATAATGTCTAAAAGTATCTTAGCTTTCTGGGAATCGCTTTGGTTCTTTAGATAATCTGCCCAAAATTGAGGATCATGAGATAGCTGCCTTGCTTTATCCAGATATAATTGTAAACCTATAATAGTCACTAAAGAGCCATACCAATTGCATCTAAAGGTTCTTGGAGATCGCTAGGTCCTTGATTCTGAGTTTCTTCAGAAATTTGTTGGTACAGCTTATCAAATGCTAAGACAACTTTATAAAATCTAATGAAAAAGGAATGATTTAGGACGATAACAGGGAGTCTGGTTACTTCATTATCTTTCCTCTCTTCTTTCTCTCTATTTCAATGATGAGAACCCAATTGATAATTATTGAGCATGGATTATTCAGTTTTCTTATCAGAAGACCTAAGAAACTTCGCTTAAGAACTATATATTCTTGAAACTTAGCTATGCTTTTACACCAAAACATAATACACAGGTCTAAACTATATTTGTGTCAAACTTTGCATGATAGAAGGAATGTGCCAATTCTGTTCTAAACTACGACAAGCATAACTTAGACCCCTTCTGAGGTTAGAAGTTATCTACTTTAGTAGTTATTAAACAGTAATTTTGCATCGCTTTTCAAAATTTTATTTAAGATAATTTTCAGACTACTCTGAGAATAAGCAATAAGATAAGCATAATAGATTAATTTTAAACAAAAAGTGATCGAGACTCAGGTTAGAGGCTATATAATCTCAATGGAAGTCTCTTATTTAGCACTAAATACTAGATCTTAGACCATCAGAAACTGTATTCGAGTAATATTGTGCGATTCCAGAACACCAAAGAACTAGAAGCTTGATCCATAAAGAATACTCTTAAAGAAACTAAGGATGGGTTCCATAATTTTATTGGATGAGCCTGTATTTACCAAATAAATCAACGATCAGAAGTATAGGTGAAGTCTTGACCTATCCTAAGGAGAAGCAGGCTAGTTTGAAATGGTTCTTACTCTTCATCGGCCCCAAGATCATTTTGTTCTGCAAAATTTGAATCTTCTCCTCTATTGATCTCTTGGCCTTCATTAGTTACTTCATCCCTGTCGTTTCTTTGATTATCAGAAAATCGCTCAATAGGGGTTACACTATACAAATGAGAGAAATTAATGATTGTATTCCTGAGAAATAGATTTTGAGAAGGACAATAAAAAGGTTTGTAAAGACTTTGTTCTGCAGAACTACTAATATAAAAATCTCTCAACTTACTTTGGCGCATTCTCATTATTTGTCATTTTAGGTGAGTCTCGGACAAAATTATTCATAATTGTTTCTTTCTTAGGTGAAACAGGCGCTTCTACAGAAGAATCTTCATTTACACCATTATCTAACACTCTTAACCAAAAACTTTACTCTCTGAGCCATCTCTCCTTCCTCTGATCATCTCTTCTTCCATTTCATCTAAATTTCCCCTTCTCTCATCTTGATTTGTCCTATCTCTTCTCTCTCCACCTATCCAAATGTCTCAAAGACCATCACAAAACAGTCCAAACCCAGCTTGTACCCTAATTTCCCCAATCCTAGTCCTTCCAAGTCCCCAAATTTCTAGCCTGGGCCACTACAGAGACTCCAGAATCTAACTTTTCTTCTTAAGTCAGCCTATCGTACAGAAAATCAGCAAGAATTTAGCCTGAAATTAGAGTAAAAAATTTTTAAATTTTTGCAAAAATTTTGAAAATTTGGGATTTTTAGGAAAATAAACAAAAATTGATTTTTTTTGAATGGGGATTTTGGGAGTTTTAGGCAGGGGATTTGGGAGAAAGAAGGAATGGAAGAGATTTTGGGAATTTTAGAGGGGAAAGGAACAGATGGGCTTACCTGAAGGGTTTGGGCTGTTCTGGGGCTGAGTGTTTGGATTGGTCTTTTTGGTGATCCTTTTGCGACCATTTTTGGGTCTGGGCTGTCTGTTCATGTGGGATGTTGGGTAGATCTAGAGGGGTTAGTGTGCTTGGGAGAGGAAGGGGGGGAAGGGAAGATGGAAGTTTTGAAGGAGGATTTTGATATTCATGCATAGTTTAGAATCGTAAGTTCTTCCCAAATCTCAGAGAATCACTCAACCTTTATAAATTACTTTATTTATAATCAACTTAAAATAATTCCTCTTATCAATCATTTGGCCATCAGCCGGGGTTTTGGGGTTTTGGGGTTTTGGGG